TGTGCATTCCGCAAGTTTAATTATACTTGGTACTATTGTATTTTACACGTGTACTAGTTATTTAATCATGATATTTACAGAGATTAACACATTGTTCATAAAGAGTGTTGTGTTGAACGACACGCGGTTATTAATGCTGGCGATCGCAGCACACAATTACTGGGAGTGTCAGACACGGCGTGTAAACCAAAACATACGGTATTTTATATTTTACATGTATTACTTTTATTTCATTAGTCTCGAATTATGCGTGTATTACATATCCAAATCTGGTACAACACTGGTGGGCACAGTATCTGGCTATACCTATTTATTTGTCAATTTGAGCATTATATTTCAAAACATATTAGATATTAAACGCATACCATATGCGGCGCACCGGCCGTACGCCCTATTGGTTGGGCATACGTGTCGGTCATCGACGGTATTGTCAGCTAGAGATCGGCTAAAAGTGATGACATTTATCGAGAGATTGTCGTCCGAACCCATCATTGGTTACCATTGTTTAGATTTATTTCCCATTAATAGCTATGAAATCTATCAATTGTGTGCTGTTGTTGTCAGTAACTATTTGCTGCTAACCACACTGTTTTAAAGTTTATATAACATGTTTAATTAGTTAATAAATATACCATATATACATTTTCATAATATAAATAATTATAATTATTTTACATCAAATTATATAACTTTATTAAACAAAATTAATATTTCCTATGTAAAGTTGTCGCGTGATATGTTGTTTCATATATAATACTAGATGATTCCCGCCCCCCACTACTCTCCCCCCGTTAATAAATAATTTTAAAAACTTCAACTCAAAAATGTTTCAATATTTTGTAATTTCATTTCCTGTCTGCCTATTGTCTGATGAGTCAAATGTCAATTCAAATGAGTGCTCAAACCATTGACCACTATTGAGGGATGATAGGCATAAATGCATTACCAATGCTCAATGCATTCAAACACAATACAGACATTGCATCACACAATGCAATACATTGTGCACTATATTATATGCAGGGAATTGCATTTAACTATTGTAACTATTTTTAGCGGTTAATAGTATTACCCCCAGACTCGGGATGTGAACCGATCATGTATTGGGGGTCAGTTTACCGAAAGTTTATTTTAACTATATTTAACTATTTGAGGCGTTCGTAACTATTTGAACGTTTATTACCTTATGCGTAACTATTTGCCACATTTTTTTAGTTTTTGGTATAATAGTATTACCCCCAGACTCGGGATGTGAACCGATCATGTATTGGGGGTCAGTTTACCGAAAGTTTATTTTAACTATATTTAACTATTTGAGGCGTTCGTAACTATTTGAACGTTTCTTACCTTATGCGTAACTATTTGCCACATTTTTTTAGTTTTTGGTTTATTTTAGTATAAAACACAAAGAAAATTACAACTTAATTTACATTTGTTAGTTAGCAAAAAATTTAAATAGATTAAACTATGACAAATGTAAAAGTTCTTGTAAATATTGCTATAATTTATCATTCAAAGCGATGGTATGACCAAAATTATGTGTTGTATGTATTCAGGGGTTTGACCAAAATAATTAAAAATATTCTTAAAAACAGTTAATTTTGTTAAATACAAATGATTTAACTTAAAAACAGTTTTATTTAGTGTATTAAAGAGTGAAACTGGCATTTTGTAACATTTTATATAATTTTTAAGCCTATTTAAGTAACTATTTGGGCTGTTTTTCATAATTCATAACTATTATAGTGACTATTTGGGGGTATTATATTCACCTATAATGCAATGCTCTGATTATATGTTATGGATGTGTTGCATTCCAATCGTGTGTAAACTCATAGTAAATATTTAGGGATTGTATTATTATTGAAATGGGTTTCCTTTCTAGGATAAGGGATTTAACTTTATAATGTGTTGGACTACAAATAACAAAGCATTTATACTGCTATACTAACCTGGCGATTGTTTTGGCATTTTAAATGTATTAATCATAAGTTAACACATTATTGACTGCACACAATAACAATATTAAACTATTGAAAAATTAATTTAAAAATTATTAAATCTTATTATGAATAAAATTCTAATAAAGTTTTTGTATAGTTAAAGAGATCCGCAAATGTATTTCAATAAAATTCTAATGAATTAGATTAAGTTATGGGAAAGTGTGTGAATATAGTTAAGCCACACAGTTATCAATTTATATTTACAACTATTGGAACAAGTTTATTAAATATTACAATGTCATATTTATCATACATGTCATATTTATTACTTATGATAACTGGGCATTTACGTGCATTTGATTTTACCTCTATTATATTACTGTTGAATTCAAACAAATATTGATAGTTTGTGTGTAATATTATTTTATAAGATTTTGTATTACATAACTATAAATTACATGAAATTCTTAGAAATAGCACTTAAGATAATTTTGAAATATACTTTTATATCTTATTGTTCTTTAAAGGTGACAATCTATATAACACGGATATACTGCATAATAAATTATATATACGTATGTTATATAAATACTGCTGAAACTTTAATATAGACATCAGTAAAAACAGTTTTTCAATTAAGATCAATTAATTTGAAAATCAGTATTATTTTATACAATAAACAAAATGATGAACTAGTCGTATGTTTAGCATTATTTATGACCCCAACTGTATATTCAAAGAGTCTACGTTACTATAGTTGCAGTATGTGTTTGCTTTGAATTTATTAAAAAATTAATATAATTAAATATTGTGAATTGCAGCATGGCCGGCAGGAAAAACTACGAGTTTTGATTTAGATGGCTGTCAAGCGGGAGACTATGCTTGTTTGGTCGAAAATGGCCAAAATGTGTCATTCACTTTTGGATTCCAATCTGGTAAATTAACTTTATTTTAATTATTACTGCATAATAAACATAATAATTATTAAATAGTAATATATTTTATATTAATTAATTGCGTTATAATAACGAGTAAAATGTTTATGCATAGTATACACCCACTTTGCATTATGTTATTACGTATCCACTTTATATAAGTTACTAATTTAATTATACTCTAAATTAGAATCCGATGAATCGAATCCGAAAGTGACCATAGTGTTCGGTCATACCGACAAACAAGGTTCTTATGTTGAGGACTACGACTATACACATTATCACACCAACGCCTGTCCCACCACTGCCTGTCCCATACGTAAAGGTGTGGCCCAGAGGTTGACGTTCAACACCACTATTAAAGCGACAGAATTTGTGAGCAGCGGAACCGCTAAACGATTAACAATTAGAGTTCATATTGAAGGCAATGGAAATGATTTGGTCTGTAGTGAAGTATATCTGGCCATGATCAAATAATTTTATTACGCCATTTAATTGTGATGATTGTTTAATATTTATATTTTTATATAAATTGTGCTTGTGAAATGATTTTTATGGTAGTAAAATATTTTTAACACATTATTCCAACAGATCATAATCTAAAATTAATTTTCTAATTTCATTTAATAATTTATTAATGAACAATATTCAATAAAACAATTACCACAATATATGGTTTGTATTCTTCGGGATGCTGCCGTGGTAATTACACCATAATAAAAAATTCCACATAATAATATCTCATGTTTATCTTATTTTAAGCATTTGTGGTCATTATTGGCAATTAAAATAAAATTGGTTTTTACTACAAATTAATGACATAATATTGTGTTTTCATTTAACAAATCTATTTTTGTAGAAAGTATTTAAATTACTATTTAAAACATGATTTTGAATAGACCAAAAATCATGGTAAAATGGTTGTTTTTATTATCATACTAAGTTAACTTATTTGTTTTATTTAGTCAAATGATAAATAAGTGCCTTCAGCGCCATATAGTGCAGCTAAAGTTATTAAAATTGTATAAGATTAATTTATCTGAATACTTTTAATACTATAAACCAAGGAATTTACCATTAAAATAATAATATTCAAGCATATAATTTTTGTATTTTAATATTTGATAGTTTGACATTTTTATTTTATGAGGTAAACGTCTAATAAAATGTATTTGTCAACTTAACATTTTATGTTATCAGGTTCAACAGTACAGAATTAAATTAAATGTCAAAAGATCGGTATTATAAATATCTAAAACTGTGCTAATTGCCTTATGTCTAATAATAATAAATTCCTCTATATTTAATATTTCAAGTATTAAGATAATTAAACTAGATTATTATAGAAAGATATACTAATAATTTTTAGTATATAATTGAGGATATGTTATTAAAAATAGTACAAAACACTAGAAATTTCTTGTAAAGGATTTGATAAAAAATGTTTAATAAAAGTACGATAATTATCAATTATGTATAAAACTGAATTTAATTCTAATTTTTTATTATTATTACAGTATTATTATTAGTGGTAATTGGAATCATTGACAATGTCTTTGGAGAAAACGGAGCCTGTCCCGATGATTACCCAATCAAATCACCATGCCACTACTATGCGTCTGATGCGCCATTCTGTGACATTATCTGCGACGGGGACCAAGACTTCAATATATATGCTGTATTCGCCGATTTAAACCAAATACTACCAATAGATAAGAAACCATTTCGTAAACTAATATTACGATCTACAGGTGCTTTTGAACTGCCACACAATGCATTCGCCGGCATCCAGTTCCAAAACATTATCATTGAAGACTGTAGTAAATTAAAATACGTTGAAATAACTGCGTTCGATGGCACCATATCAACCGTAACACAATTTACTATTTCTAATTCTCAAATTAAAAATTCCGACTCAGATTTTTGTGCCGCAATTAGCACATTAAAAGCGTTAGAAATACTCATGGTGGAAAATGCGGGCGTTATCACATTGCCATCAATGTGTGTGTCTGGTTTAAAAAAATTGCGCGAGATTGGCTTCTATAACAATCCATTAAAATCAATATCGACCAGCGCGTTCAACTATTTACCGTCGTTGAAATATCTACATTTTAATGGAAGCCCTATACAAAATGTGTCCGCACACGCATTCACTATTGGTCGTAACACGATTGACCAGTTAGTTGACATATATTTTTACTCTCAACCCAATAATCCTTTCGATAACCATGCGTTACAATCTATTGGATGCGCAACAAATATAGGATTTTGGTCAAATAGTATAAATTATTTAGATTCAACTATATTTGAATTGTTTTTGACTGAAAACACAATGAATAAAATATTTGATGAAAGCATCGATTGCGCCGACAGTCGTAACCAATGGATTAGAGAGAAATACCCACACATATGGACGGATTTGAAATGCCGGTCGTGTCCCAATGATTATCCTATTAAATCACCATGCGAATACAGGGATGGTCGGGATTTTTGTGATATATTATGTTCGGGTAACAATTTATTTGATGTATATGCTCTGTTCTCAGATTTAAATAATAGTCTACCGACTGATAAAAAACAATTCAGACGATTGGAGTTAACAAACAAGGCTATAGAAGAGCTGCCGGCCAACGCGTTCGGTGGGATACAATTTAGCGAAGTTTACATTAATGAGTCAAGTAAATTACAACGTATCAACACAGCTGCATTTAATGGCACGGCATCAAAAATAACCATACTTCAAATTGACAACTCTCCAATTAACATAATAGCCAAAAACGACTTGGACTGGTTTGGGGCTATTAACACGTTGAACAAGTTGGAAAAATTACATTTGTCTAATACTAAGCTTATAACATTAACCTCAATGAGTTTATCAAAACTTAATAATCTACGCATTATATCATTTTCAAATAATCCATTACAATCAATATCAAGAAGCGCGTTTAACAATTTACTCTCTCTTGAATTGTTAGAATTCAAAAACAGCCCAATAGAACGTGTGGCCGAACAAGCTTTCACAATAAATTGCAAAAATGTTAATGAAAATTTAGAAATAGATTTTGATACTCAGCCGAACGACCCGTTTGCCAATCGTGCATTTGAATCGATAGGATGCGCAACAACTATACATTTTGGGCCAAAATCAATTAAATATTTAAACCGCGATAATTTTGATGAGTTTTTCTCTGAAAATATAAATAATAAAGTGTTGGACGAAAGTATCGATTGTGTGGATAAACGTAACCAATGGATTAAAGAAAAACACCCACATGTTTGGCATGATTTACAATGTAAAAATTACATTACGTGTCCCAACGATTACTCAATTAAATCAGAGCTAGGTTCATGCGCATACATGGACTATGATACATTGTGTAACATTGCCTGTTGGGGCGACAAGGCGTTTGATATAAAGGCGTTATTCTTTGACCTAAATCATAGGCTACCAAATGATAAGAAAACCTTTTGGAAACTGGAGATATCAAACACGGCAATAGAGGAACTACCGGCTAATGCGTTCGCTGGCATACAATTTAAGCAAATTCATATTATTAATGCATCTAGTTTACATCGTATAAGCCCTGCCGCGTTTGAAGGCACCGCATCGATAACAAACGGGCTTTTTATTAAAAATACCACGATTACCGAATTGGCAACAAATGATTCGGATTTGTTCGGAGCGATAAACGCTTTGCCCGAGTTGGCGGGGCTAGAACTGGACAGAACTGGCGTTACCACGTTGCCCACGATGAGTGTGACGGGTCTAAAAAATTTGGAAAAAGTGACTTTTAAAGCAAATTCACTAAAGTCCATTTATTCCGACGCGTTTAGCAATTTGCCGATGCTACAACATTTGCAATTTATTGAAAGCCCAATTCAGCGCGTTTTCGATCGCGCGTTCACAATAAAGTGCGATAGAAATGTAAGTCCGAGATTAGTAATAGATTTCGATACTCAACGCGAAGACCCGTTTGACAACAGGGCGTTAGAGTCGATCGGATGCTCGACTACTATAACACTGAGAAAGGGATCCTTTAAATACTTGGATAGAAATGAATTCGAAGTGTTTTTTAGTGAACATGTGTCCAATCGTGTTAACGATAAGAGCATCGATTGCTACGATAGTCGTAACCAATGGGTTAAAGAGAAATTCCCAGACGTTTGGAAAGATTGGGTGCTTAATATTTGTGAATGATTATATGGTAGTTATTAAATAGACATTGGGTAAAATTTTAGTTATTTTATTTTCAGAATTGCACATTAGCACACATTATTAATATTACAAATAGTTTATAATATAAATTTATATTAATTTTTTCAATATATTTAATCAAGAGAAAATATCAATCAATTTTATTTATTATTTAAACATTTTTATGTCTAAATTTCAATTTATAAATTAAATAAAACATAATTTAATATTTAAAATTTTTTTAATTACTTTATATTGAAGTAAACTTCATGGATATTCTTATATTTTGTACACGTATTAAAATATATATTATAAAACATTATATTAATTACAATGTAGTAGTATTAGATAAGTATAATAGTTATTATCCATAAATTGATAATTATAAACATAATTATTGTTGACAAACAGTATGCCATTAAAATTAAATAAAACTTTAAATAAGAATATTTTATATTTTAAAAACATAAGTTACAATTCATATTGTAATTATAATTTAATGAATAAAAATATAATTAAACAGCATAAATAATAATTTGTGTACTTTTAATTATTGTAGTGAAACCTTATAGTTATAAATAATATAATTTCCATAATAAATACTATAACAGCGCTAATAAAACAATAGCCGCTAAACGTAAATAACGTGACAAATATATGGTGTCGGAGGGGTTCGTAAACCGGTATGGGATCGGCGTAAAAGTCAGACATATGGCGGCCATCGAGGAAACCAGTGTTTTCTGCGATATTATAATAGACGTGAACGTAGTAATCGGCGTGCAATTGCTCCCAGTATTGAATGATCGAGGTCTCGTATAATCGGCGATTACTATTGGTTAAATTGATAAACGTGAAAATAACATTAATAAATTTAAAATTTATATTTTTAAAAATTATAATTACACGTGATGTATGTACACGTGATTATGTAATTAAGAGTTCTAGATTAAATGATCATTCAATAAATTATTTAAAATAAATTAAAATTTTTAGTCAATTTATGAAAAGCAGTTGATATATAAAATATGCATACGTCTTAAATAATAATATAAATTTCAGTGTGTAACAATCAATGTAACTTACATCATTTCAGCGTAATCAGCAAACTTAAACATTGGCCCATAGCACAACGTAGAAAAATAAACAGGCACATCAGGTTGACCAATATGGTAGGGCATAAATCGAGCTGCATAGCGCTTGAAATTCTCGGTATAAACATCCTCAAATATAAACACGGTGTGTTTAAATTCATCTTGCAGCACCGATTTATCTAAATTCATCC